TAGAACACCTAGATTTAGAAAACCTGGGGTTTGGTTTTCTTTCTGCTTGTGTGCAAGTCTTTTATTTCATCTGCTTTCTTGAGTTTAAAAAGAAGGTATATAGGAACTAGAGAGATGGCTTAGCGTTAAGAGCACTGTATCATTTTGTTGAAGGCCTGGATTCAGTTCCCAACACCCACGAGGCGTGTTGCAAGTTTATATATTCAGTTCTAGGTGATCCAGGTTTCGCCTCAGTTTCTGGGCTCCTGCATATAAACTTCATGCAAACACACGCACACACACATGAAAGCAAGAAAATAAATCTTGGCTGGGCATGGTGGCACATGCCTTTAATCCCAGCACTCAGGAGGCAGAGGCAGGCAGATCTCTGAGTTCAAGGCCAGCCCCATCTACAGAGTCCAGGACAGCCAGGGCTACACAGAAAAACCCTGCCTTGAAAAACACAAACAAAAGCAACAACAAACAAAACAAAAGAAAATCTTTAAAAAGCATAGAGCTAGAGTGATCCAATTGAATGAGCCACACATAGCAGGTACCCACCCGATAGCTGAATATGCGAATATGCAAGTGCCTAGCATTGCTAGAGGCTCTTATACTACAAAAGTACAGCAATTTTCCTTCAAGGAATCTCAAAGTTAGCGTATGTGTTAGAGTTTATTTAAAAGATTGTGAGCATAGTTGAGGAAATTGCAGTGTTAGAACAAACCAGAGGAAGGAGACATACGAACCAGGGCTCTCTAGAAGCCTTCAAAAGGCACTAACTAGCTTAAGTATTCACAAAGTCCAGCCTTTACGAGGTAGAAGAGCGAGCTGCAAATGATCTTTGGCTTTGGTTTTCTCATTAGATATTCTGAGCATACTCAGCTACAGACCCAGCAAAGAGCTGTTCAGGAAGCAATCCAGGTGAAGCTGAATGAATTTGAACAATGGATAACACATTATCAGGCTGCTTTCAGTAATTTAGAAGCAACCCAGCTTGCAAGTTTGCTTCAGGAGATAAGCACACAAATGGACCTTGGTATGTGAGCATGTGGGTTCTTTGATTGTATGTTTTGGATGATGGGATTCTAACTTTTGAGTCTAATGTTGAGTCTACTACTCTCTGTGATTACTGACTTGTAAGGGTTTCATTGTGACTGTCTTTACTATTAGGTCCCCCAAGCTATGTACCAGCAACAGCTTTTCTACAGAATGCTGGCCAAGCCCACCTCATCAGCCAGTGTGAGCAGCTGGAGGGGGAAGTTGGAGCTCTTCTGCAACAGAGGCGTTCTGTGCTCCGAGGTTGTCTGGAACAGTTACATCACTATGCAACTGTAGCTCTGCAGTATCCAAAAGCCATATTTCAGAAACATCGGATTGAACAGTGGAAGGCCTGGATGGAAGAGCTTATCTGCAACACCACAGTAGAGCGCTGCCAAGAACTCTATAGGAAGTAAGTTGAAGGCATCTCATTCTTTTCATTTCACACTGAGGGAAGCAGGGTTGTATTGTAAGTTGCTGGCTTAGTTACAGCTTCTTTCTATTGCTGTGATAAAGGCCATAACCAAAAGCAACTTGGAGAGGAAGTGGTTTATCTTACTACTTACAGTCCAGCATGAAGGGAAGTAAGGATAGGAACTTAAGGCAGGAGCTGACTAAGGAAGACTGTACAAGGCTTGCTTTTTTTATTTTTGTTTTTATTTTTTCGAGACAGGGTTTCCTTGTGTACTCTTGGCTGTTCTGATTAACTTTGTAGACCAGGCGGGCCTCAAACTCGCAAGAGAGCCACCTGCCTTCCCAAGTGCTAGGATTATAGGCGTGCCCCACCATGCTAGCTCATGGTTTTTTGGTTTTGTTTTTGACAATACAATTTAATCACTTTTCATTATAAAAGTGTGGTGTTGGGTTTTCACTATTAACATTCTGTGCCCAACAAGAAGCTATTGCCCCCACCATTCTGGCCCACTGAGCCAGAGCCCTGCGAGTCCAGTTGGGAGAGTGATCCACAGGGTCTGGCAGGAACAGATGAGGCAGGGTTCTAGGCACAGGGTTCCCAGCACTAGGGGCCGAAGGCCTCCCCAGGGAGAGAACATGGCCACTGCCCCAGAGACCTCTGAACTGGGGAGAGGTGCACTTAGGGCAGAGTGGAAGTTTCTATTAACATGAAGCAAAGGGCTATGCAGCCCCCAAGAATAGCATCTATACAGGCTGGTATCCCATATTTCCATAGGAAAAAGCTGCTTTTTTATGTAACTGATTGACCTGCCTATGGGCTGTGCTCTCCCATATCAATCATTTATCAAGAAAATATGGTACAGACTTGCTTACAGGCAATCTGATGGAGACTTTTTCTCAGTGGAGGTTCTTCCCAAATATGTATAGGTTTGTGCTAAGTTGACAAAAGTCAACCAGCACAGTTCCATTTATATTTTTTTTTTCTGAAAAGTGATCAACAGATGGAATTTGAATGAAGCTCCTTTTTTTTGTTTGTTTGTTTTTTGGGTTTTCGATGTTCAAGACAAGATGTTGGGTTCAGGGTAGAAGCTGAGGAAACTCACTTCAGATACAGAAGCTTAAAACGGAAGCTTTATTTTCTGAGCTCAGGGAGGTGGCCAGTTTGGGTCTGAACTATGTCCTTAAGGGGAAGCTGTATTGCATATTTAAAGGGTGAGAACCACAATTAGCTCACATGGGGGTAGGGGGGTGGAGGGCACAGTGAAAACAGGGTAGTCATCTCTGACTCAAATTAATTTTGCTATCTAGACAAGCAGTTCTAGCTAATCTTTAATTTGATTTTTTCCAAGTAAAGTTTATGGTTAGGGCCAACTACCCTTATGGTTGGGGAATTTCTGGGACCAACAAGGCCATAGGGTATGCTGAACCATAAACATAGTTTTTGCTCAACCTGACCTTGTATAGAGATTCTTTTATGTCAGCAACAAGTTGAGATGATGTGGCTGGTGGACCAGAAACGATTATGGCTATACTTATGCCAAAAGGACCAGGCCTCAACAAAGTTTTCTCTGTGTAGCTATGGCTGCCCTGGAACTTGCTCTGTAGAACAGGGTGTCCTCAAACTCAGAGATCAGCCTGCCTCTGCCTCCTGAGTAACTGTCCCTTTTGGGTTTTTTATTTTATTTTATTATTTTATTTTTGTTTTTAACCCTTCTCTTTTGAGACAGTCTGTTCTTTGTCAGCCTTCCAAGTAGATGAGATTGCAGATTTGTGCTATTAGCCTCAAATAATTTGATTTGTAAGAGGATACTTATTGCAAGTTTGAAGCCAGCCTGGTCTAGCAGGCGGACTGACTCAAACTAAGACCTTGGACGTAATCCAGTTTTATATATATGGCATGTGTAAGGCTACAGGTTCCATTCCTGCGCAACTGCAGAGAGAGTAAGAAGGTATTAACCTGAACTCACTCAGGGTTTCTCTTACAAGACACTGTTTCTCTTAATTAGTATATACAAGTCTTAGTATAGTAGTATTGTTTTAAGGAAGTTATACTTCGTCATTGAATTATATCACTCCATAAAAGCCATCTTATGAAAAAGCTTTGTTCTTGAGAATATCTTCAATACAGTTGAGATTTTCATTATTTGAGGATGGAATGTAATTTTCTTATACTTTGCAGTGTGATTTTTATTTACAAGTAGGGGTATATTGATATAAGCAAGCACCTGCTTTATTTTTATAGGTATGAGATGCAGTATGCTCCTCAGCCACCTCCAACAGTGTGTCAGTTCATCACTGCCACTGAAATGACCCTTCAGCGGTATGCAGCAGACATAAATAGCAGACTTATTAGACAAGTGGAACGCTTAAAACAAGAAGCCGTCACGGTGCCAGTTTGTGAAGATCAGTTGAAAGAAATTGAGCGTTGCATTAAAGTTTTTCTTCATGAGAATGGAGAAGAAGGATCTCTGAGTCTAGCAAGTGTCATTATTTCTGCCCTTTGTACTCTTACAAGGTGAGCTAGTGTGCTTTATACTGGATTATTTTATTATTCTCAGTTCATATGTTTTATTTTAATTCCCAATTTTAAAACTATTAGTTTTAGTCTGTGTTAGAGTCACTTTCTTTTAGATTTGAAGTCTTCTCGAGTCTATGTTCACTTAACCAAAACTGTTTTCATTGTCCACATAGACGCAATCTTATGATGGAAGGTGCAGCCTCAAGTGCTGGGGAGCAGCTGGTTGATCTGACATCCCGAGATGGAGCCTGGTTTTTAGAGGAGCTGTGTAGTATGAGTGGAAATGTTACTTGTTTGGTGCAGTTACTGAAGCAGTGCCACCTGGTACCACAGGACTTGGATATTCCCAACCCAGTGGAAGCATCTGAGGCGGTTCATTTAGCCAATGGAGTGTACACATCCCTGCAGGTGAACAGTTTGAAGTTGGGTTGCGAACAAAGTTCAGTTGGTAGAGTGCTTGCTTACCATGCAGGAAGTCCTGGGTTTGAGCCCTAGAGCCACAAGACCAAGAGTGGTGGCAATTGCCTATAATCCCAGTATTCAGGAGGTAGAGGCAGGAAGGTCAGAAAGTTCAAGGTCACCCAGTCTCAACAACAGAAAACAGCCCCGCAGCAAAACATCACCAGGCAGTTGGTATCTCTAGAAAGACATGGTCCCAAGTTTTCTCAATTGAGGTTAAATATTAAACACTGTCTTGTTTAGTTTCTTAATCTGAAGAGCAATTTGACTCTTGAATTATTACTTTAAGCAGTCATTTAAAATGTTGCCATGGCTTCATTTCATGTGTATGCATAAAGCAGGTGTTGGGATGGGGTTTGTGGTTAATTTGACTGTTGACACAAAAATAATAATACACAGGAGGATCAGAATGGTTTTGCACAAGTTGGTCTTTTTGATTTTTTGAGATAGGGTCTTACTATGCAGCTCTGGACTGGATCTCACCATGGTGCCCTTTCTGGCCTCGAATTTCTGCCTCTGTCTCCTAGTCCCAAGGGTTAGGATTAAAGTTGCATACTACCATACCCAACCAAACAGGTTTTTCAAGTTTGTGCCTGCTTCAGCAGCACATATGCTAATACTGGATACCGAGAAGATTAGCATGGCCATTGCAAAAGGATGACACACATTCATGAAGCGTTTCATTGGTTTTTTGTTTTTTGGTTTTTTTTTTTTTTTTTTTGTTTGTTTGTATGTTTTTTCCCTCCATGCTTTTGTAGGTCCCTGAGTCCATGCTAAAGTTAATCTGTCTCTTTGTGTCATGGTCTGCCCCAGTCTCACCTTGCAGGTTAATTTGTTTATTTTTAATTTGGGGTTTTTTGGAGGCAGGGTCTCTCTTTGTAGCCCTGGCTAGTCTGGAACTTACCATGTAATGCAGACTAACTTGTTAGCAGCTCTTCAGGATCTGCCTCCGGAGTGCTAAGATATACAGGTGTGTGTCACCATGCCCTGTATAAGTTGGTTTTAAGTTAATGGGATTGCATTATTAAATGTATAACTTACTTAAAGTTAGGAAAAGCATTGAAATATATAGTCCTCTTTTTGTAGGAATTAAATTCAAATTTCCGGCAAATCATATTCCCAGAAGCACTTAGATGTTTAATGAAGGGAGAGTGTACCTTAGAAAGTATGCTCCGTGAACTAGACAGTCTTATCGAACAGACAACCGACGGAGTTCCTCTGCAGACTCTCGTTGAGTCGCTTCAAGCCTACTTACGAAACACGGCCATGGGACTTGAAGAAGAAACTCATGCTCATTACATCGATGTTGCCAGGTAAGTGTTTTAGTCAGCTGTGTACTGTTTCAGCAGAGCAACATGGCAGATCAGCAGTGCTGACACTACCAGGGCTTTGGAGACTAAGGCAAGAATGCAGCTAGTTTGAGTCATCCTGTCTTAGAAGGTGGTAGGAACTAGGTGGCCAGGTAATGAGATTCTGTGCTCTAACCTAATTAAATTTACTTTTAATTGTGAGGGCAAATCCGATTATTGACAAATGCATTAAAAAATACAAGTCCATTACTTGAATGATTACAGATTTATTAGAGATTGTTGCAAGCCTGTGTAAGCTCATCTCTAGGTTGACCTTAGTACATGCATTCTGCAAAATAGTGTTACGAACTAGGCAGTGGGAAAGTCAAGGAACATGCTTGTTTTTCATCAGTAACCCATCCATTTCGCTGTCTGTCCTTTTAGTAGCTTTATGTAGCTCTTCAGTGTAGGCACAACTTCCCTTTTGTTGCTGTGGCTATGTGTGTGCATAAGTTCAGTGTGTATGTATGGGGGGTCATTTTGTTTGTTTGGTGGGATTAAAGGTGGGTGCATGCACTTGATGGGGGACAGAGAAGTCACTTGCCGCAGTGTATATGAGGAAGTCAGAGGACAGCTTTATAGAGTCAGTTCTCTACTTCTGTCTTTACATAGATTCTGGGAATCTAACTCAGGTTGTTAGGCTTGTATGTCAAGTACCTTTACCCACTGAGCCCTCTTGCCAGCTTCAGTGTGTATATTTAAGCAATGGAAGTATCTATCTGAGATGGTTAACTTGGCTGATGAAATGTATACCCCACTTCAGGCAAACAGTTTTAATTTAGTGTACATTTGTGTTTAGGAGATTAAACATTGTATTTTCTTTAATCCAGAAAAGCAGTTTGCCTTTGGAACCTCTGAGATTGCATAGCTCTCTAGACATACATGGTAGCTTTGGCTAAACCCTCTGCCCTTTTATGTCTAGAGACTTAAGATCTCTTCCTTTGTCATTCTGACATTGAACTCACTGCAAAAATACAACTGAGGGGCCAGAAATACTGCCTACCTGATTTCCACACATGAAAAATGGCAAGTAGGAGAGAGTAAAGGATCTGTTTCCACATGTAGGATCATCCACACCTGCTCATACTGATTTACATTCTGTTCATTGTTTTGTTCATTTTGTTATGTGCTGCATGAGAGGGTGTGCGTGACACTGTGCATATACGGAAGTCAGGAACTACTTTGTGGAGCTGTATGTCTCCACTTCCATTAGGGTTGTGGATTGAACTCAGGTCATCAGGCTTGCATGATGTGATGTTACTTCGAGTGTTGTATTATAAAATTGCTGTTGGGGTATACAGTGTTAATTATTAGCCCTGTGATTATCACGAAGGTATTATCTAACCCACTAACAGATACCTGTTAGATTTTACAATTCCCTTATTTACCTTTGGCTGGGCAGATATTCCTACCTACACTGTCTAAATTACCTCACCATCCATTTCCCAGCCCCCATCCAATGCTACCCTCCTTAAGCGTCCTATCTTCTACCCATAATCTTTTAAAGATATATATATATATATATATATATATATATATATATATATATACACACACACACACACACACACAAGATACAAGTGGTTTAAACTATTTATGTAATAGAGGTATCATCATTTCAAACAGTTAGGTTAAAAAGTTAGGTTAAATCTATGTTTTAATGAATTTCAGACCTCACTTTATTTGCTGTGTATGGAGTACATGGATGCAAGTGTTCATGTCTGCACATGAGAAGTTGATGTCAAGTGTCTTCCTCTGTTTATTGCTCTTTTTTTTTTTTTTTTTTTTTTTAATCCATAAGAGTCTCGTTGAGCCTAGAGCTTACTGATTGGCTATACTAGCTATGCAACATGTACACAGGATTCCCCTGTCTTGGTCTGCCGTTCCTGGGGTCATAGGAATGTGACATCATGCCTTGCTGTTTATGAAAGTTGTCATCTGACAGACTAAATCGCACAACTTTTTTTAAAGTTCTGAAATGTACATAATAAAAAACTGTATATACTTCAAATGGCAGGTACTTTCATTACTGTCTAAAGTTAATTGCAGTTATGTGGCTATAGCACCACCACACCTGAAATTTTATAAATCTATACTTTGGAATTAGGTTATTCTTGACATTCTCACATATTATGTAGTAAATTTAAAAATGTCATCTACATTTGTATATTATTTAAGTCACATAAGTTTACACATTACTGTAACAGTTGGAATCATTGATTTTATAATGGAATTGGCACTAAATACCATTTTCTCACAGAAATTCTCATAGTGCTAGCATGTTTCTGTAGACTTTGCACAGCAGTTCTGAGACTCAGACGTTTGTATTCCCCAGACAAATTCTTCAGGTGAGGGTTTTAACGCCATTTTCTTTTTCTCTAGAATGCTGCATGCACAATATGGTGAATTAATACAACCAAGAAATGGATCAGTTGATGAAACACCAAAAATGTCAGCTGGCCAGATGCTTTTGGTAGCGTTTGATGGCATGTTTGCCCAAGTTGAAACTGCTTTTGGCTTATTAGTTGAAAAGGTAAACATTGCCTTTGTTTTATGAAAAGTATAAGTGCAATAGTCATTTAAACAAAGGAAAGTGAGCATTCTTCTTTTTATTTGCACAGTTAAACAAGATGGAAATTCCTGTTGCTTGGCGGAAGATTGACATTATTCGGGAAGCCAGGAGTACCCAGGTCAATTTTTTTGATGATGACAATCACCGTCAGGTGCTAGAGGAGATTTTCTTTTTAAAAAGACTACAGACAATTAAGGAGTTCTTCAGACTCTGTGGTACCTTTTCCAAAACATTATCAGGTAATACTGGCTTAGGTTGGGTTCATAGTACTTTAGAAGAGATCATGGTGGAATAGGCTTAATTTAACTGTGCACTTGTGAATTCTCAGTGCTTCAAGTAAGCATTATTATCTGATCTTAATTGTTCAGGACCCGTTTTAAGATTTTTTTATTTTTTTATTTTTTTAGGATCAAGTTCACTTGAAGATCAGAATACTGTGAATGGACCTGTACAGATTGTCAATGTAAAAACCCTTTTTAGAAACTCTTGCTTCAGTGAAGATCAAATGGCCAAGCCTATTAAGGCTTTTACAGCTGACTTTGTAAGGCAGCTCTTGATAGGACTCCCAAACCAAGCCCTTGGACTCACACTCTGTAGCTTTATCAGTGCCCTGGGTGTAGACATCATTGCTCAGGTGGAGGCAAAGGACTTTGGTGCTGAAAGCAAAGTTTCTGTAGATGATCTGTGTAAGAAAGCTGTGGAGCACAACATCCAGGTAGGAAAGTTCTCACAGTTGGTAATGAACAGGGCCACTGTGTTAGCCAGCTCCTATGACACAGCCTGGAAGAAGCATGACCTGGTGCGCAGGCTGGAAACGAGCATTTCTTCCTGCAAGACAAGCCTGCAGCGGGTGCAGTTGCACATCGCCATGTTCCAGGTGAGCAGCTGCAATACACAAGTTCATGTATGACAATATGAAGAAAACAGTGTAAACTGCCTCAGTTGTGCCAAATCAAAGTGGACACTTTTAAGGCTTCTGTGTTTTTCTTTGCAATTACTTTTTGCTTTTCTTTTCTGGAATGGAGTTGGTTTCATGTTTAAAGTTTGTTTTTTTGACTTTCTTTTCAGCAGAACTACATAAAAAGCATTTTATATGTTTATGTATTAAGTAACAGTGAATATTGTTCATGAATGTAGTTTGTAATGGTTGTATTTATTCATGGTGTAGGTAGGTCTGCATCCTGTATTGTTGAATTCATAAATTTATCTCTAAATAGGTTTCCCTGATGCTCTAAAAATACAATGTGTAGCTTTGGGTCAAAGGAAATGTGCCTTTATTTTGGAAACTTCTTATAGAAGAAGCCTGTTTTGACATATAAACATGGGCTTTGGGATAAGATAAATTTGGATTCCAAACAAATCTGTCTGATATTCTGCCTGTAGCTTGAGTTTGGTGTCCTTACAGAGGATGACTTGTGAGGGTTAGACAACAATCTGTGAAGATTGTAAGCAAGTGCAACTCAGGGATGGCTTTATTTGTTCTTTTATAAATGTAAACTTTGACATTGTCAAAAAAAGTTAAAGGCATTGGCGAATGTCAGTTTGGCAATGTTTTGGCATAAACAGTGATTATTTTGTTTTGCTTTGGGCAGTGAAACGATGTTTTCTTCTCTTTGCAGTTTTATCATCACTAGCTATTTTCTTACTTCATAAGTTAGGAAATGTAGTGTATTCAACCCTAATCACATTAGTTGTGTTTTAATAGTTCTGTTTCTCACACATTGTATGTAAATTTGGAGTGGGTGGGTAATAATGCTTTATGACTTCTGAA